ACACACACAAACACACACACACACACACACACACACACACACACACACACACACACACACACACACACACACACACACACTCACACAACAATTTATTTTTATATAAGATTATTTATTATATACACATAATCGCGCACGCGGCCTAATAAATGGAGATGATCCATACGTTATCAACAACTTACTCTAAAAATGACGAGGACATCGTGGTGAAAAATAAAATAATAATTTCAATGTTCGTAAGATGAAAAAATAAAAAATAAATAAAAAATGATTCAAGCTCTAATACATACACGCATATATACATTCTGTTGGTATAGTGCCGTATAAACATAGTAATGCGTGCCTTATATTGGTATATATTTATATGATATATGCATAAGGGACACCTTTTGATGCGTCACATTCAAAGATGATTAATATGTTTATACGTAATATACATGTATAAAATATATGCACATATTCTTATACAATACAGTGGCTTAAAAGTATACAACAATATAGGTGTACAAGACATATAATACAATAGTTTATAAAGAAAAAATATAATATATTACGATATGTTTATATATACTAAGAAACTAAGGATAGTATGTAGTAATATTATATATATATATTTTTATTTAGAGTATAAAGCGTTTTTATATGTACAGCGCTGATAGATCAGAAACCTGAGTCCTTGAAGGTCTTAAATTAATAATTGTTAGTGTAATATATGCGTGGAAAATACGGAAAAAAATATAAATAATATAATAATAATAATAACGTTTAAAATGTGTGTACATGGTTGCAAGTTGGTTTGTTCGTGTGTACAAGTGCAACAACAACAATAACAACAACATCAATATCAACATCAACATCAACAATAAACAAAAAACAGCAACAATAACAAAACGAATAACAGCAACCAGTGTAGAAAACCGTAATCTTGGCGAGGACAAAAGAGAAGAAAAATAAGAACGAGAGGAGAACTGCTAGGATTATGGGAAATATTTTTAATGTGAAAGAAGGAAGTGATAGAGATATTATTGTTCGTGGAGAGATTGGAAACGTAGGCGTCGGAGATGGAATCATAATGTGACCGGTATATTTATTTATGTGAATCCTTTGGATATTGTTGCTTTTTATGTATATCTTTGCTATTTTATTCCAACGTATTGAGCACGGGAGGCACAGGAAAAAAAAACACTCGGGGGTTGTCGATGGGTCTCACACCACGGGGATACCTTGAATCCGTCGTACGTCCAGCTACCGAATTTCAACACACACGTCTGTTCGTCGAACGGGAAAAATTCCACGTCGATCTCGCACGACGATTTGAATATGGCCGGCGGTTTCCATTCTACTAGCCCTACGTGGTATATGGTCGCCTTGGTGGCCAGCGTCACGTCGAAATTGCCGTCGGCGCTGTGGATCATACACAAACACAAAAGTTGCAACAAAAGCGTCGTCGGCATAATAAATATGCAAATATACACAGTATACATGGGAAATAAATAGTAGGTATTATGCATATATCGTGTAGGGTGATTTTTTAACCATGCGGACCCGTTTTTTTTTTTTTTTTTTGAGTTGTGTATTATGTACCACAAAACTGTATTTTTTACTACAACGAGATTTTTTTGTACCTACTACAACAAGGAGAATACCGTAGTTCTAAACGCAAACATCAATTTTTTTCTTTTTTTCTTACGCTAATAATTATTAAGATATGATTTTTCTGGAATTTTATACTATAGGCTAAATTTAGACCAGTGGGTTCATATTGATTAAAATTTATCTATGGAATATATGGTAGAATTTTGTATACCTAATATAGTATAAATAAGTATTTTATAATATTGTTATGAATCTTATGACGTGGATTTAATGTAAATATTTATCAAGATTCAAGATACATACACATTTATATTTACTAATTATTTTTCAAGCTTTTATTGCGCAAATTCGAACTTTAATCATTTTGAAAATACTTTTTCAAATACTGTTAGAAAAAAAAAAATCGTGTTCCTGAGTGAAAAACAAAAATTTTACCTTAATTCCTCACGGTAAGGATGTAACAGGCAAATCATACCCCCGGAAATTATTACCGGGGGAAGTAAGATTTTTCTAGGCATAATTTACCCCCGGTACAACTATCCTAGAATATCGTTACCCCCAGAAGTATTACACTAGGTTAATTATACCTCCTTCAGTGGGTACGATTATCCTAGGAAAGTATTTAGATTTACTTTTAGAGGGAGGGTTGACTCAAATGTTTATTTCAATTCAGGCTCAAAATTTACAAACACAATTTTGGATAATATTTAAATCAGATGAATCCTTAATATTTGTGGTTTTTTTTTTTTTTTTTAATCTAATGCTGGATCTGCTTAGAAAGGACTTTTGTGTAGTTCTTTTTTAAAACCTATCTGTGTTTTAAAAACTTCACTTGTGATTTATTTGATTTTTCACTAAGTATGGATCAGGGCTTAAATCAAAATAATATATATTGTTTATGGTTATGGGACATTCAAATGTCATAAGTAATTGAGCGTTTAACCCTATAAATAATTTAATCATTATTAAATTTAAGCATATAAACGTTATACAAATTTAAAGTTTAAAAATTTTCCGTTTACCGTTATTGACAATTAAAATGTTATGCATAATTTAGCGTTTTGTGTTATTTAAATTAGTGTAAAATATGAAACGTTTTCAAATGTAGTATTTAGCAATCAATACTATAAAAAATAACATAATATATTTTAAATATTATATTATATATATATATATTACCTTTAACCAGTGGTGTATTGGTAAATATATTTGTGGATATACGTACTAAAACATATGGATGTTAATCCTAAAATAAATTTTCTTGCTTCGCTTGACTATTTTTTTCTCTCAATATGTTCGAAAAAATTTAATTAATACATTGTAATTACATATTTATAATTTCTATTAATACTATAAAATATAACACCACAAGATAACATTTGCAGTGCGTTATAAATTGCAAAATGCAGACATAATGGGCTGAATGTTCACACTTTATACTATTTTATTCACTACAGTTAAATTATAATTAGTAATGCTTATTTATATATTATTAATTGATAAATGTATTGATGTTTTAAACATCCTTTTTATATATATTTTGTATAGATTATCTAGTAATTTAAGTCAATTTTACAAAAATAACTATATTCCAAATATTTTTTATTAATAGTTATAAATATTTTTACATTGAAATTTCTTTGGAAAGAATCATTTTCCGTTATGTTATTCGATATTAATTTTAATCGTTTTTCGTTTTTGTTTCGTTATCTGTAATCGATTTCAATCGTTTTTTGAAGAGTTTAGCGTTATACTTATAACTCTGAAAACCAGATTTTTATCAATTTCACCGAAATCATAGTATTTTTGGAAATTATTTGTATGGCGTTATTAACTACAGCGAATTTTTTTACATGTTTATTACGCCAGTTACCGGAAAATCATAAAATATAGAATATTAGCAAAATCGTGATCCTAAAATCAAAAATTGCATATGATCTGCTAATAATAATTATTTAAAATAGATAGCAGGAAGGAGAAAAAACAAATTTTATTAATAAAATAACGTGTATACCTACACTATTGTCTTTAAATTAAAAAAACAGATCACTTTAAACATTAATTGTATTTGTTCTGTGTTTTTAGAATGTAGGAATATTGTACTGGGGGGAGGGGTAAAAATATCCTAGGAAAATTATACCCTCTTCGAGGTACAATATTTTTAGTAAATTCTTACCGAGAGGTAAGATTATCCTAAGATATTCTTACCGGGGGGGGGGGGGGGGTAAAACTTTTCTAAGATAATCGTACCCACTGAAGGGGTATAATTAATCTAAGATAATCTTACCGGGGGTAAATTATGCCTAGGAAAATCTTACCTCCCCTCGAAAATATTTTCCGGGGGTATGATTTGACTGGAACAGGGGCAATAATCTTACTACAGACAATTTAAAATTTTTCCTCATGCCAGGGTTCGGAAAAATACACGACTTGAGCCTAAAAAAGGGATGATCATGGTTAAAAATACACTCTGTATATATAGTATTTGCTTGTGTAATCATTCATAACATACGTTTTCCACTATTACTACTATATACGCGCTAAAAGTGTATTGTGAGTGTAATAGCTATCTGTCCGAGTCTGTTGTATTGTACACGTTATTATTTTGTTGTCGTCCCGTAATGTTTGTAAAAGTCACGTTATAGCTGTCGGTGCGTCCATAGGGACGAGATGATTTTCGCGCATTGTCCCCCGTGAAAATATTCGCTATTGTTCCAATTTCTCTTTCTTTGCGTGCAGTAGCAAAATATATTGCTCATCTCGTCCATCCTGTCTTTTAGATCCAAACTGTCCTAGTTAAAAAGGCACTGGTAAACTTAATAAGAATACATACTGATCAGACTCAAATGAAAAAAGCTCACTGTCCGGGCACGTCATTTGATTTTTAATAATAGTTCATTAGCCCATTTCAGTCTCTTTGACAACGCTTATACATACGTAGAAACACAAAGAAATCAAACAATAACTTAATTCGTAAGTGTTTGTAAGTATTTCTATGTTAGTACCTTATTTCTAATACTAAATAGTATATGAATTAATATAGTTTGAATTATAATTTTTTGATACCACATATTGCTTGCTAGTACGAATTAACTTTTAATGGAACCTAGATAAAAATATTTATTCATTAAATTTATAAATAATGTGCAAAACTGTAACTATGTTACTGGTAATTAACGGACGAAACGTATATTCGACGATCTAGGACAAATGGACGCAGTCATTTGGACGTGACCGTTAGGACGTTAAAAAAAAAAAAAAATATATATATAGAAAAATCAGTAAATAAAATAAATAAATTATTTATATTTATTATAATATATAAATTTTAAAGTATTCATTCAAAAAAACTTCACCATCACAATTTAAATTAATTAATGACATCTTAAATGTACACTTGAATGCAATTTGTACACGACTAACATGGTTATAGATGTGTGTTTTCGTGTCTCGTGAATCACCGTGTTTCGATAAAATGTGATAATTATTACAAATTGTAAAAACCAATAAGTTATATATATATATATATATATATATATATATATATTGATGTAAAAGGTACCTATTGCCAAAACGATAAAATTCGATAAGGTTCGATATTATGATACGATACCATTAGTTATATTATGAACATAAAATATCAATGATTTTATAACTTATAAATATATATATATACATATATATGTATAATTTTTTTTTACGTCCATTTTTCCCTATTTGTATGTTCGAAAATCTAAAACCGTACCGATTGTAAGCGTCGAACAAAATTCCGATATTTTCTTACTACTATTTGCATTTACAAAAAATATCTCTTCCTTTAGGATTTTCTAACATATAATTTTTACTGGTTTTGAAATAAATGTTTTTTTTTTTTTATTTTGTTTGGTTTAAACCATTCGTGGATTAATATTCGTTTACGTTACAGAACGGTTATCTGCCGTCCCAAATTAAACACGAGTTATCAGATAACGTAAATTATAAATTTACGGTTGGAAATATTACGGTATCTAGTTTGACGTTGAATACATGAGAGTATAGTATTTAAAAAAGAAAATTCGCTAAACATTCATGGATAATAGTTATAGTTGATTACAAAATAATACGTGTAGAATATCCGTGAAAAAATCTATTTCTTTGAATTTAATATTAAAATTGCGATAAAAATAAATATTTATTTCTAAATAGAAAACCCGTTTGAATAAATATAGCTAAAAATTTGCCTAAAATTGACAAAAATCATTCGTCTTCAACAAAATTGCCTTTCAGTCGGCCTTTTGAGCTCATGGTCCAACTGATGTTAGAGCGTTTAATTATTTAACAAGTCATTTCAAAGACAAAGACGGAACATTATGTGTCGTTGAAAAACTAAACTTGTCATAAACGTTTTTTGAAACTGCATATATAAACGTTTGATGATACAACGGTTAACAACGGTTAATTATTAATATAAATTGACATGTAACACGGCGTATAGGGTATGCAATATTGATGCATGGATGTGCACGTTCATATTTTCAGCGGTCACATGTTTGTACCACGTCACACAATAAAAATAATTTGAATATAATTAAAATACATTTATTTATTGATTATAATTAAAAAGCTGTTTGAGCCAGCAATATTAATTTTATAAAACTATAGTGTTGAACTTAAATACAAACAAAATACTAAACTTGATCATTTAAATTATATTCATTACATAACGCATTTTACAAAAGATTCATATCATTATTGAGTTGACCGAGTACTTGCACGTTGATAATAAAGAAAAAATGCACTCATATAATTCAGATTGTTATGGAAAATCA